AGTAGTTTTAATTGAGATTACAAAATAGTTCTTTAAAGTGACATTTTGAAAAAAAAAATAAAGTGACATTTTGTTTAATGAGTATTTTTTCCCCCTAAAAATTAGGCTAAGAAGTTCCTATTATTTCAGCCTATTCTTCTTATTCACCTTTTCAATTTATTGGTGAGGCAGTAACTACAGAGTATGAGCGTGGCACCGGGATGCATTTGCCAAACCATTAAAATTACCTGGAAATAAATAAAAATGCACATTTCCCGACCTTACTGCTACTACGTCCCCATGTCTGATGCAGGATACTGACAGACCATTTTTCATTCCAAAGTTCCCTGGCTACACTGGGACTGACCTCTCTGCAGCGGAAGTGTAGGAACCCTGGAGAATCTCCAGGAAAACGGCGAGGGAGACAAGCGCCAAGGCCTTGGTCTGCACCCAGTGCTCACTCGGTGGATTGCCCATGGCCAGTGGCAGGTCCCAACATCTTCGCAACCACGGCAAAGGAAAATACCTGAGAAGCAGGCACAGCTTGAAAATGGGCAGCACCAAGCCTGACACCATCTGCTCTCATTATAGAGAGCCCCTTCCGGTCCTCATCATGGCCCAGGAAGTTTGGATTTGTATCCCATGAAAAGTTATGGGAATTCTAGTGAGTTAGTTCCAATCTACCACTTCCAGTGCAGCCCATGGCGAGAATAAAGACACTAAGATATATCTGTAGTTATGGGGATCCAAGGGGTCCTAAGTCCAGCCATGATGATGACCATCTGGAACAAAAGCCTCCACCCAAGGCCGAACCTAGTTTTTATTCATTCATGAGGAAGGGAGTGGCTTGAGGATGAGTGACTGTGAGAACCACAGGAAGTAGGCGAGTGTCATGAGCTGGGCTAGGTAGGAGGCCTGAACTCACCTCTGGAAATGCAGAGAGAAGGATGTGCCGAGAGAGTAATCTGCATAACACAACTGAGATAGCATCTAATGTTTTGAGGTCAGTGCTTCAGCTCTGATGTGTAATGTTTGAAGCCCCAGGAAGTCATAGCCTCTACCTAAGGCTCAATCCCAGCCCACAGCGTGGAGCACTGGCTCCCACATCCTGTTCATCCCAGCTCACTCGAGGGAGCAACCAGGATCCGGGGAAATACACCTGTCATCCCCAAAGACTACCATCAGCACCTCGGCTGGACCGATATGCACTGCTTAACGCCAACTGAAGGGATAAGGAAAAGTCCCAGTCAGCTCAGTACACATCAATACATGGAAATAGGGTCAGGCTCAGCCAAAATGGAGGCAACTGCTTCTTTTTCAAGGAGAGTCTCCTAGGTGGTCCTCCACATCTCATGAAAGTTAGTCCTTCTCCCCATTCCAGCTGAGCTCTCCTTCAGAAACAGGGTTACACACACCTCCATCGTGTGCCCAAGGCTGTGCACTCTCCTCCCCAGTGTGGTGTCCCTCAGCCTGGGTCTCTGACAGTGTCAGCATCGCTTCCTCTTCAGGCTCACTTAGCTCACAGCTCTCTTGGGCTCGCCTTGGAAACTGCAGAAGCTCTTCCAGCTTGGGAGAGGCCAATACGGAGAGGTGCACAAGAAGGCAATGATTACCCACTAGGACAGTAGATTTTCCCTCACTTCTTTTCAAAAAAAGGAATCTGGTACCAGCCAAGCATTACTGCACCTGCGAGCAAATTCCGTAAGACCACATCCTGATGAGTTGTGTGATGTCACTGTTCCAAAATGATGTAGGAATCAGTCTGAATCCTGTGCTAGAGGAAATCTCCTCAAAAGTACAGGGTACATCTCCCTTAGGTCACCCAAAGTGGCAGCATCAACATAACACTGTGAGGTGATATTCACTGAATGCTTCTAACATTATTTACCAAAAGCTTGTACAGCACATTCTATGGGCACTTTACAAACAGGATGTTTTTTACATCATCAAAGCAGTCCTGTGAGGTAGGTAGTCCTTTGAGGCTGCTAAACGTAGTCAGGTATTTACGTCAGTAGTTAGATCTGGTGTACATTAGTGTTGTTTCCATTTTACAGATGTTACTATAAATGGCTTTAGAATCCCTGCCAGTTCTAACCTATCTAGCCCTCTCTCTCCCTCTCCCTCTCTCTTCCCTCCCTCTCACACACACTGGAGATTTCAAAGCAAATACATGAGACAACCACACTACTCTGGGGCAAGGCCCTAGGTACACAGAGTCAGAATGTGCACCGGGAGAATGAACACTGGGCCAGGAGGGAAGGAGGAAGCAGGGAGGATGGCACTGATGTATAGCAGCATTACTCCTGAAGGTAATTTAGTTCCCTTTAAACCCCTGGCACTGCCCTTTGATCTAGCTGGGAGCCTGGGGGTGGAATTCGCACTTTCAGTGGCTGCTCCTGACCCACAGGGCAGGGATGCACCTGGCTGAGAGTCACACCTGGAGGAGCAGGTTCCCAGCGACCTCCGACCTCCGAGCCTCTGTGCCTTCATTAACCCCAACGTGGAGATGAGACAGGGCCCAGAGCTCCACTGCAGGAAGCTTCACTGCAGGAAGAATCTCCACTCCAGTGAGGGCCACTGTTCTAGTGCAGCAGTTTCTGAGCGAGTTCTAGTTGGACTGGCCAGGGCCTTGCATTGATACCTCACCACTGTGTGCCGAGAGCCTGTGCCATCAGCTCCAGTACATGAGCAGACAGATAAACACACCTTCGTTCCTGCTCTCCAAAGGAACGCGAGCCGTTCTGTGGGTCAGCAACAGGAACTTCATTCCTGAGCTACTGTTCCTCCCTTCCTCCTCTCTCCCACCCTCCCTCCTTTTGAGTTCACCTAACATCCATGGATAGGATTGCCTCATGCTTTGAATAGCTTAGTTTTCTAAAGCAGAACTATAGGACAACACTGCAGTCGCCTCAGGTGGCATTTCTCCCAGTCTCTAACATGAATAATGAAAGCACCTTGTGCTATTAATACCACAAGTTATACAACATCTATTTATCTATCTACCTACCTATCTATAGATAGATATATCAGCACAGGGTGGGAGTGCCAGAGTCCCTGCACACAGAGTAGGTGTTAGCAGGGGGGCAGCGGGCTTGGGGACTCTTCCAGCCCTGTCATCCTGCTGGCCCTCTCACAACTCTCTCCTCAGGCAGAAGCCTCCGCCGGGCTGGTGGGTGCACAGCTCAGAGGTCAGCCTAGAGGGGCAGACTTCCCTTCAACAAGGACAACAGAGGTGTGTCAAAACCCTCAGCTTCGTTTTTAAATAAGTAGTTTTACTTTCTGCCCTAATCATTGCCATGATTATGTAGAATGGAAGCAAGCATCCTGTGGGGATGCTGCCTAGAAGGCTGAGGATAAAGTTATCACATGAAAGGTGATGAGAGGCAAGAGAAAAATAAAAAAGTGTTGCAGGAAAATTTGAGATAGGACCCGAAACCCTCAGGAAGAACAGTAACAAGGTATACTTGCAAAGAACTAAGATAAAAGAGGGTGAAGGATAAACAGAGTGCAGATAATAGATTGCTTTGAATATATATCACGGATTTCAGAAGTTTTTAACAGCTTCAAACACTCATTAAGGTTTTAAGCAAGTGTGTTTTGTGATTCATTTATGACCGGGCTCCTGCAGTAAGTCTTGAGGCTCTGAGGATCTTCTGCAAAGCTAGCGGGCGGGAAGCGAAGTTGCTTTGAGCAGAATCCAGACATTTGGATGAATGATTCATGATCTGGTAGAGTGAATAATAGAGATACTGAAAGGTTACAGCTTTTTTTTCTGCCTTACAACAGGATGCTTCACAGAAACTACTTTCTGAAGAGATGTAAACAGAATCATAGGAAGAATTCATTCCACTTTGGGCAAATTGAATTATCAATGCCTGATAGAGTCAAGTGAATGTGTCCGGGAGTCTGCTGTGTACCATTTCAGGGCCCTGGATAAAGCGTGTGCCGCAGTTTTAGCTCACGTCTGATCACATGGAGGCGGGAGATGGTACTCGGAGAGGATGGTAGGGTTTGAGAGGAAGAAACAGTAAACACCAGGACAGAACTCTCAGAAACACCCACAGGAGTTCAAACTGGTGAAAAATACGAATTAGCCTGTTAGATGGTGAAAAATTCTTTCCTTAAGAAGAAAACAAGGAGACTAAAATATGACAGAAAAAAAGAAAATCAGCATTTTAAGGAAGAGCTTGCCCCTTAGCTCCTAATGCACTGAACTCCGAGGCACAGTCGAGCGGCCCACCGCCCCGCCAAGAGCCTCGCCGACGTGGCCCCTGCAGTCCGGGGAGGCCGGGGAGGGCGGCGCCCTGGCGGGAGTGGATGCGTGCAGAGCGCGAGGGTGCAGCTGTGAGAGCGTCAGAGACGACAGGAAAGGAGGGTGCCGGGAGTGAAGCCCGGCGCTGGAAGGGCCACCGGCGAGGCACGTCCCGGGAGGGAACAGAGCAGCAGCTCTGGAGAGGCCGCAGGCCGAGCCGCAGCAAGAGGCTCCATTCCAGCAGGAGAGCGGGGAGCAGCGGGGACTCAGGGCGCAGACTGCCATCTGCACTCGTCAGACCAAACGCGGTGGGTCCTGGCGGAAGAAAGTGCAGCGCAGCGAGACGGAAGACTCCCACAGGAAGCAATGCTGGGTACTTCGGGCGCGCACCGCCGCCCCCGTCCAGGCGTCTGAAAACGTGCCCAGCTGAGAGTTCCGGACTCCTCCCTACAGCGGGGCCTGGTGCGCTCCCGGGGGCGGAGAAGAGCCCGGGGCCGGCGCGGAGCTCCCCGCGGCCTCTGCACCGTCCGCGGCTGATAAACTTCGTCTTTCCGGTCGAAGATGATCACCTCCCTGCACGTGCTAGGAAAAAGAAACGGTGCGAGGGGAAACTGTGAGGAAAATAAACCAAACCACGCACCACGCTGCGCGCGCACACCACGCCCAGCCACGCCCAGCCATGCCCAGCCACGCCACACTGCGCCACACTGCGCCACGCCCCAAGCCACTCTGCGCCAAGCCACGCCCTTCAGTCCTTTGTCACCACCCCTTACCCACGGGCAGTAGGCTTCCCGTGTTGCGTGAGTGAGAACCGTGCTATTCGTGCTCACTGCGGGTTTCCAGGCGCGGGGAAGCTGGCCGCCGTTACCTGGGCCATGCCACAGAAACAAATCCACGGCTCAGCCTGCGTGGAAGAGCAAGGAGGAAGGTCGTAGCAGCTACTTCGGTCTCCAGGGAAGGAGAGAGCCAGAATGAGGGTAAGAATGGCTAACAGAAAATTTATACAATATTTTCTAAATGCTACTGCGCAATGTTTATTTCAGTGAGAGTAATTTTGGTGTGTTTTTTGGAAAACAAGTCTGATTTTTCCAAGTAAGGATGGCTATCAGGTGCTTGACACTCCGTGAAAGAAAAGTCTTGGAAACTCAGTTCTGTGTGTTCCCGGGTGAAGTAAATGTTACTTTAGTAGAATTGTTAGCGTCTCCATGCGGATGCCTGTTAAAACCAAACACGGTGGGGCGCACATCAGTTAAGGGTAACTTGTCTAAAGATGACTGTATTTTTGCATATACTTGAGCCTAGTTCAGTCTTTGCCTTTGTAATTAAATAGTAAAGATTTAGAAAACCTTTTACTTAGTTGTTTTTAATCAATTTGGGTACTTTAAAAAATAATGTATTAATTTATGATACAGAGATACATTCCATTGTTTTATCACACTAACTTATGTTCTACCAGGTAAAAACAATATTTGAGTCTTGGAATACACTGTTTGTAGGAACCCTCCGCAGTTGCAGAGCGATCTTGAAAGCCATCGGGAAGCTCCTCCTTGTAGAGCAAAGCCTCTGGCCTTAGCAGTGTTTTCTTTCTGACCTCCGGTCATGCCAGTTTGTGCAAAAGCTGTCATCAGTCAGGAATCTGTTCAGGAAACAAAATATTTCATGGTTGAGTGAGTCCCAGTTTAGACATGTGAACAGTAAAGATCTCAATTACTATTAGCCCTTGTGTGTTTTAAAAATTAGAAGTACATGCAGATATACTGTAAATGTTCAAGAATTGATGAACAGTTCCTTTTTATTACATGATGTTTTACATTGTATAACTGGACCATATAGTCAAATCTGTGTTCAAAATTTCATTATGCTTTTTAAGCCTGTCTAAAGGTATTCAAAATTAGACGGGGGAACTACTGGTTGACTTAATTTTCTGAGTTTGATGATTACTCTTTAAAAATGTCTATGTTCCATTTTTATTTTGCTATGTTTTTGTTCTAATTTTTGTTTGTTTTGATATCATACTCCAGTTCAATCAGATAGCCTATATTCATTCTAATGGGATCTCCATATTAAAGCTGTAGAGGTAGTTACTTGGGTCCCACTCTAGCCATAACTGCATATATTACATTTAGTTTTAGAAAACCTCCTTTTGCCACAGGAGGCAAGGGTAACCATTCTAGTGGTATGTGGGGAGTCCCTCTGCTTCTGTTCCTGGATTCCATTAAACTGCTCAGCAAGGTGATACAGGGAAGAGTGAGTTATTTTGTTATAAGTAAACTTTGCCTTTCTGTTTTTAGAGCCTGGTCTTTCCTACTAACAAGGTTTACAGTTTGTAAGTCAACTGTGCTTTGTTCCTCCCATTTAATCTAAAATGTTTACAAATTAATGTCCCATGGAAAATCTGACTTACAGTAACATTATTACATAGAGAAGACTGGACATGCTGTGAATAAAAAAGATTTCTTAGTAGGGTATTTTGGATGGAGGAAAGATCAAAATCTAAGGTTTAAAAGCTGTTACCCACATAATTTTATATATATTTTTAAGGGTGGTCTTTTTATAACTGTGCCATTAGATAAATGGTTTGCCTTTGAAAAGGTCATATGTTTTTTTTTTTTTTAAATTTTAAGCAGTAAAGGAAGGATAACATAATAATGGGGGGCTTACCAAATTACAGACAAAGTGGTAGGAAATTATCAATGGTTATTGTTTTACATAGTGTTATCTACAACACAGTTTCTCAGGAAAACAAATAGACAAATAATAGTGAGTTACAGACAAAAGCAGTAGGAGATTATCAATAGTTGTTGTACTATACTTTGGTATCTTCAAAGTGGCTTCTAAAGAAAATAAATAGAGCTGTACATCAGTGACTTATTGAATAATCATTAACTATTCTCAATGGTTGTTGTAGGTAACACATAATAATAAATTCGCATCCATTTATGAAATAGGATAAGAACAATACAAACATTGCAGAGTTATGGATAGATTAGTAGGAAAATATCAATGGCTGCTGTAATACATGGTGGTATCTTCAAAGTGGTTTCTCAGGAAGACATAGATGCACAAGAAGGATCTAACAAGTAGTTACAGCCTAAGGGTTGTCAAAAATAGCATATTACCTCCTCACCAGTGACTACTGTCACTGAGGTGTGACAGCTGGAAGGCCAGGATTGAAAAGAAGGACCGAGAGACTTGCACCTGTGTTTAGCAACAGGCTGTTTTCTTGTTCCTCCATAGTCATGATTACCCAGGACTCCTCGATGGAGATGACGGTCTGGCCAGAGGGAGAAGGCAGAGTATGCCCCGGGCGCTCTCATTCCTGTTGGACTAACTGGTAGGATGGGTCTGAGCTCTGGGGCTTCTGCTTCAGAGGGCAGAGTGATCTCCAGTGGTCACCTTTGCATTCAGGGCATGGCCCATGGGGCCTCTTAGGGCAGTTCCTCTTGAGGTGGCCTGGCTTTTAACAGTGGTAGCAGATGAATGCAGTCATCGAGTTCTTCTTGGGGCCCCAGGAATCAGACTTGGGGTCTGTTTCTCTTAATGCTGCAGCAAAAGCAGCTGCTTTTTCTCGGTCTCTTTGTTTTCTCTCCTTGGCTTCCTCCTTGTCATGGCTATAGAATACTGAGGAGGCAATTCTTACTAACATCTGAAGTGAGCTATCTAGGGTGAAAGCCATTCTTTGTAGCTTTTTCTCTCTAGCCTCCCATCATGTTGGGACCCCACAACCAGTTAGTGTCCTCTCCCCAACTGTCAGCACAGGCAGCAGGAATCTTGCTGCAGACCTCCCTGGACCTCCATGTGCTCCTCCACCACAGCCTCTACTGTCAGGGGAAGAATGGCTTCACGGGGGTCTCCCAGGTATTGTGCAAGGTCCTCCTGGTTTACAGCTTCGGAATGGCTCTCATGACCCCAGTCCACACAACCTCTGACTCCTCGGGCTTAGTCTGTATTCTCATGTTCTCCAAGTCCTTGTTCAGCAGCTGCTCCTTTGCTGATGCTGGACCTTTCTGCTTCTCAACGACAGAGGCAAGAGTGACCTGTTGTATGGCATATATTCCCAGGGGTTTCTCCGTGTTTGAATGATTCACACACGTCTGTGGGTGGGCCTCTGCAGCCCATGCATGGTGGGCCAATTGTGTCGTTGTTTCTCTGTGTCATGGTAGGTAGTTCTCAATTGAGCGGCAGTGGCTGACCTGAAGGCCGGCATATGACAGCATGCACTGCTGTGTGGCTTCCGCACTGGGGGCCCTCCTCCCGGGTGCCTGCAAGGCTGGGGACTGGCCCGAAGACCCATGCTTCCCACTGCGTGGCTTCCTGGGCATGAGGGGCCTTCCTCCTGGGCTCCTGTGAGGCAGGGAGCCCAGGTCATATGTTCAAAGAAGAGCTTACGAAACATATGAACAATTTTTCCTAGGTAATGTCAACTAAAAAATGTACTATAGTAATAGACACCTCAAAAAGAATAATCCATAAAAAGAGGTACAGCACACCCTGGCCATCACCTAAACTACATCCACCTCACTCATGCCCACACTTTCTTGTATTAATTTTTACCTAAAATTCTTAAGTTTTTACCTTTTTTGGGTTTGAGCATATAAAAGTAAACATAAGTATATATTCTTATCTCCCTCTGTTTTACACAAAACATATTAAGTATAATTCCCATCATACCCTTTTCCAAAGGACGGTTTTCCTTTAGGCCTTGAGATCTCAGCTCCTGACTTGGTCTTTGGTGGAGCCAGGGTCGGGGAGCAGCAGCCACACTCAGATCCCAGGGGGCCCTTCCCTTCTTCCTGGCTCCACTGGGGTGGGTTCCTGACACACTGCTGGGACCTGGGACCGGCAGTAATGTCTCCTCGCTTCTGGCTGTGGAGGCACACAGGTGTTGAGCAGGCTGGCCACAGACATGGCTCCAAGGCTCCTGGACATCCAGTGATGACAGCGCCACTGGACACAGTTCCTGCAGGAAAGGTCCAGTGGGAGCTGTGGCCCCTTTTGGTACAGCCCTTGCTCTCTGCTCCCTCTCTGCCTCCTTCCCTCCCTGCTCCTCCATCTTTTTGTTTTTGTTATCTTGGAAGTGGGAATCAGAGATACATAGAATTTGGAACATGATTCTTGTTCCCCTTGACAATATGCCTTGCAGGTCTTTAGACATCCATCTTCTCCCAGAACTTCATAATCAAGGCATTGGTTACACACATTGGCACTCTGGCTAGAAAGGAGTGAGGTTAGGGTAAAATTCCTGAGCCATATGTAGATGTAACATTGAAATTATTCCTCCTAAGGGTATAAAATTATGTAATACCTTTGGATTTAATAAAAGATAATACAGTGTATGTCAGTAGATTTCTCACTGATTTAGCATTTCATTACTAAAGTGAACCTCAAGTAAATACATTTCTTAACCAATAATCAATTTATAATTTTAGATAAATTTTAATTGTGTCATAGATTTCATTTAATAAACAGGTAATATTGAGCTAGGTGTGATGGCATAACCTATAATCCCAGCACTCAGGAGGCTGAGGCAAGAGGATTGCTGCACGTTTGATGCCAATTTGGAATACATAGTGAGTTCAAGGCCAGCCTCAACTGTAGAGTAAGACCCTGTCTCAAAAAACAAAGTAAAAACAACAACAACAAAAAACAAACAGGTCATATTCTTTGCTCTTTTAAGGGAATTATTTTGTAGAAAGTGAGATAATAGGAAGAAGTTGCACACTGAAGATGGAAACCTGTAGTATAGTTATCCTAGCTCTCCTGCGTGTACGTATGCATATTCTCTTTCTTCTTTTTTCTCTCCCCTCCTTCATCCCAGTTGCTCCTTCCTATTTGAGCAGTTTCTTTCCCTTACTGTCTTTTTTTTTTTGGTCTTTTTGAGACAGGGTCTCGCTGTGCAGTTCAGGCTGACCTTGAGCTCACTTTGTAGCCCAGGCTGGTCTCAAACTCGCAGAGATCCTCCTGCCTCAGCGTGTGC